TCCTTCCTTCCTTCCTTCCTTCCTTCCTTCCTTCCTTCCTTCCCCTTTCCTGTTCTCCTTCCTTCCCCTTCCTTCCTTCTTTCCTTTCTTATTTAATTTTTATTTTATTGATTTATCTGATTTGTCAGTTGCTTACAAGGTAATAGGTATAAGTATAAACATGAGTATGAATACAGGAAATAGGGACGAATAAATGGGGACAATAGGACAGGGACAATAGGCACGATGGTGCACTTATGCACGCCCCCTACAGATCTCTTAGGAACAGGGTGAGGTTAATAGTGGATAGTTTAAGGTTAAAGGAGTGGGGGTTAGAGGATGTAACAACAGAGTCAGGTAGTGCATTCCAGGCATTGACCACATCTTCCAAGAAGTTGCAATCAAGGCAGTTTTGCCAATCTGCAGGTTTCCAGATATGTGGGTCTTAATTTCTCATCTTCCCCATAGTTGGAGTGAGAGTGATAGCTTGCAAAAGTGGATATAGAGTGCATGATTGTAAATCCAGCGACATTTGATTCCTTCTTTAGAGTAAGGGTCAGACGCACAAGGAAATGTTATGGAATGAGTAGTGAGCAAGTGGGGGCACATTGGTCTAGTGGTAAAGACGTTGGGCTTGTCAACTGGAAGGTTGGCGATTTGAGACCCAACTACCATTGCGACAGGATGAGCTCCTGTCCCTTGCTGCAGCTCCCTCCCACGCAGCAGTTCAGAAGCAGGCAATTGCGAGTAGATAAATAGGTACCACTTCGATGGGAAGATAACAGAGTTACGTGCACTTCGGTATATAGTCATGTTGGCCCCCGTGATCACAGAAGTGATCTTTGGACAACACTCACTTCCTCTGGTAGGAAAAGAGGTAAGCACCATCTTCTAGAATTGGACTCAATGTTTTTTACTTTTTAGGGGGCAAAAGTACATCAGAGTCTGGAGTCCTTGGACAGCGAGATGGGTGGCATATAAATCTAATTAATAACAGTCCCCCACAACCTTGACATGGTTGTGTGTCTTATGCACTCTGAGGAAGATGAAAGTTATGCCAGAGTTCAACCATATGGCACAAATCTCATCGAAAGAGCCAGATGAAAAGTGTCTCTCCCATTAAAAAAATGTGTTAATTGAAAAAATCCATATTGGATCAATTGTTGGCTGGGTCAACAAAGGCTACACTAGATGCTACAGTTCCCAGACCTCTAGTGATAAATGGCCTACAGGACTCAGGACTGTTGGCTGAGCAAGCAGGGCTAAAAGCTGCAGGACTATGGGGAGAAAAAGTCACAAATATACAAAAAGATCTCCCAATAGAAGTAGGATGACTATTGACAAAAGAAAGCAAAGGTAATACCAATAGTAATAGGCACTTTGGGTTACAATCCCAAAACAAGTACTACCCTGTTTCTCCAACAATACGGCCTCCCCCAATAGGAAGTCCCAGCATGTTTTATAGGCATGAAATGAAATTAAGCCCCTTATCAGCACCAGCAGATAAACACAAAAAGAAAGGCATCGCAATCTATGTGAGAGATGACTTAAAAGCGGAGTTAATCTGGGCGGACCCTGAAGGAAGAACGCTGGTAGTACAAATCTCGATTAATGGCATTACACTCTTACTGGTAGTAATCTATGCCCCAAATGATGATCAAGGTAAATTTTTTAAACATCTCCATCAAAAAATAACAGAATTCGAAAATGGTAATATTATTCTGATTGGCGATTTTAACTCTATTGCTGACTACCGGAAGGATCATAGTAATAGGAGTAAGAACAAAAAAGGGAATAGAGAATTTTCTAAGCCATGTAAGGATATGTTGAATGAAATGAATCTGGTAGATATCTGGAGAAAATTAAATCCCAAAAAAGAACAGTTTACTTATTATTCTAACCCGCACAAAATTTGGACAAGAATAGATATGGCTTGGATAAACGGTGAATTGATTAATGAAATCAAAGATAGTGAAATCTTACCAAATGACTGGGCTGACCACAATCCAATTCAAATAACCTGGAGAGGTAGAGGAAAACCAAAGAAAAGATGGACTTTTAACACTCATTTAACAAAAGAAGAAGAATATATTAATAAACTGAAAGAAGAACTGAACTTCTTTTTAAAGGAAAATAATAATGATCTAACTTCGAAACAAAATATATGGGACACATTTAAGGCATTTATAAGAGGAATAACAATCTCTTACAATGCTATGAGAAATAAAAGAAAGTATGCCCAACAAAGTAATCTACAACAAGAAATTAAAGATTTAGAAATCCAATTACAAAAGAACCCCAAAAACCAAAGAATACAGAACCAGTTAATAACAACTAAACACAAATTAAATTTACTGGAACAAGAAAAATTGGAGATTAGTCTGAAAATGACTAAACAAATCTACTTTGAGCATGCAAACAAACCAGGGAGATGGTTAGCCCACAAACTTAAGAAAACGAAAGAAAAAAGATTGATACACCAATTAATGGATGAGGGGGGCAATATGCAGGAGGAGATAGAGAAGAAAAAAGAGATTACTTTTAATTACTTCAAGAAATTATACAAAAAAGAAGAAGTCTCTGAGGATAAAATAATGAAATACCTGGAGGAAGCGAATGATAAAGCAATTGGAGAGGAAGAGATAGAATTATTAAATCAAAAAATAACATGGTCCGAACTGAAGTCAGCAATAGAGAAGCAAAGTAACAATAAAGCACCTGGACCGGATGGGATACCGGTAGAACTTTACAAAATTATCATAGAACAAATTGGACCACTGATGCTGGATGTTTTTAATGAGGTACTCTTAGCAGCCAAGATGCCGGACTCGTGGAGGGGAGCCTTAATTTCGCTGATCCCGAAGGAGGACCTAGACCACAGACTTATTAATAATTATAGACCAATTTCGCTCCTGAATGCAGATTACAAATTATTCTCTTCTATAATAGCTAATAGATTAAAACAGGTTTTAAACACTTATATCCATGAAGATCAAAATGGATTTCTCCCATTTCGACAAATTAAGAATAATTTAAGAACAGTGATAGACATTTCAGAATACTATGAAGCCCACCCGGAAAAACAATTTGCATTTATGTTCTTGGATGCTGAAAAAGCATTCGACAATTTAAATTGGCATTTCTTAATTCAAAAAATATATAATATGAATCTTGGCACCAGATTTGAAAATGTCATCACTACAATTTACCACACTCAACAGGCAAACATTCTAATAAATGGGGAACAAACTGGCCCGATAAAAATAGAAAAGGGGGTAAGACAGGGTTGCCCTCTCTCCCCTCTGCTTTTCATATTCGCCCTAGAATCTCTTCTGACGTACATTAGGCAAAATTTGAGAATTAGAGGTCTGAGGATCAAATCAGAAGAATATAAACTACAGGCTTTCGCTGATGATTTGGTTTTTTTTCTGGAGGAGCCTATAGAAAAGGACACAACTTATTAGAAGAACTAGAACGATTTGGAGAAGTCGCGGGATTTAAAATAAACAGGGGAAAAACAAAATTAATGACTAAAAATTTAACAGGAGACCAGAATAAAAAGCTAGAGACAACAATGGGAATACAGGTGACAAAAAAAATTAAATACTTAGGAATTTGGCTAACTCCACAAAGTAAATCGTTAAAAGAAAATAATTATGACAAACTTCTTCAACAATCTAAGAAAGACTTGGATTTCTGGAGCAAGTTACAACTTTCCTTATTGGGCAGGATTGCTTTGATTAAGATGAATATTCTGCCAAAATTTCTATATTTATTCCAGACAATTCCAATCAAACTAAATAAAAAATTTTTTATGGAACTAAACAAGATAACATTGAATTTCATTTGGCAGGGGAAAAAAGCTAGGATTAACGTAAAAGCCCTACAAGATTTGAAAAGCAGAGGAGGGTTAGCCTTGCCAAACTGGGAAATATACCATACGGCAGCCACCTTACTATGGATAAAGGATTGGGTAAACCTAACCAACAAAAGAACACTAGTATTAGAAGGCCACGATATGCAGAAAGGATGGCATACCTTTCTGTGGGAATCAGGGAAACCCAGGCAATCATATTTCCATAGGCATCTTATTAGGGACGCTTTATTAACTAATTGGAAAAAAGTACGTAAAAAACTTTATCTAAAAATACCGATTTGGCTGTCTCCAATGGAAGCGATAGTACACCCTAATAATTTGGATATAACCAAAATGATTAAGTATGAAAATTTATTAGACCTACAAGGAAAGTTAAAAACACGACAAGAATTACAAGAACGAGGATTTATAATTGATCAGTGGGTGTACCTTCAAATTCATAGTAAATACAAACAAGACATTAAAGAATTTGGAATCTACAATAAATTACAGACTCTAGACAAAATTCTATTAGGACCAAGTAAAAAAAATATATCTAAATTTTACAAATATTTATTAGAAACAGAACTGGAACAAGAAATTGTCAAGGGAAATATGATTGCGTGGAGCAGAAATGTGGGTCGGAGCATTACCCTAGCAGAATGGGAAAAGGTCTGGAACAGGAACATTAAGATCACGAAATCAGCAGCTTATAAAGAAAACTTATATAAAATGTTTTATAGATGGCACCTGCCTCCTTCGAGATTGGCCAAGATGCACCCCAACACGAGCCCCAAGTGTTGGAAATGTCAAAACACAGAAGGTACCTTCTTCCACATGTGGTGGTCATGCAAGGAAACCCAGAAGTATTGGCAAAAAATTAGGCACTGGCTAGAGGAAATAACCATGGAACAGATTGAGTACAAACCGGAGTCCTTCCTTCTAGGAATTTTTGATAAACGAATATCCAAAAAATCAAAGTATATTACAATCCATATCTTAACCGCGGCCAGACTGGCATTTGCCCAGTGCTGGAAACTACCTTCCATCCCCACTGAACTTATGGTCATTCAGAAAATTTTACAATGTGCAGAAATGGACAATCTAACCCAAGCATTAAAAAATAAAGAATCTTCAATTTATTCTAGCAATTGGAATCCTTTGTATATTTGGCTTAATCAAAGATAGTTCACCGCTAAGAAGACTAAGGCCGACGATAGCTTTGAAGAAGAAAAGACCTTACTGACAGTCACAAAATATGGTTTTATTATAATTGTCTTTCCTACCTTTGTTTTCCCCACTTTTCCCCCCTTCTCTTCCCTTTCCCTCTTTCCTCTCTCAAACTTTCCTTTCTTTCCCTCTTGGCTTACGCCAAGACTGGTGCGTCTCTTTGTTGTATATAATTTATAGCTGTGTTGTTGTCTTTTTTTTAAAAAAGTAAAATTAATAAAGTTTATTTAAAAAAAAAAAAGAAATTAAGCCCCTCCCCCCAAATTAAGGCCTATATTAAAATACGCGAAATGGGGGGGGGATGGTGGGGGCGGGGGCTTGCCGTTAGGAAGTACTTTTGTTGCACACCCTGATACGGTGCTGCCTGTGTTGACCCCGATACGAAGTGCCCCACCAATGCCGAGGTCAACATTCAAACATCGCTGCCCACCCGCCCAAAGATGCAAGGGGGGGGGAATTAAGTCACCCCCCAAAAGACGGCCTAGCCATTTTTTCGGGGCTCAAAACAAAATAAGACCCGGCCTTATTATATGAGAAACACGGTACTTGAATGCCATTGACAAAATCAACATTAAGTCAGTTGCAAAAGGCAGCTTTGTTTGGATCATCATCATCATCATCATCTTCATTCTCCAGTGAGGCACTACCTTGACGTGGTTGTGGGACTTATGTGGGCTGAGGAAGATGAGAGCTATGCCAGAGGTTCAACCATACTGGACTAGTCTCATCAGAGGAGTCAGACAAAGAGTGTCTCTACAGTGAGACGTAAATTTCAGAAAGCCATACTGGCTCAGATGTCGGCTGAGTTAACAACGTCCACACTAGGCATTGTGTCAAGCCCGAAATTGACACGTGCGTAGCCATTTTATTCAGCCTTATTATATATTCCTTTTCTTTCTTTCTCTTTGCTGGGTATGGGGGGGAAGAGTTTCGGACTTGCCACATTCCTAGGAGGGAGGAGTGGAGATAGAGAGAGTTGTTTAGGCTAGGTGGTTCTTCTTCCCGTGGGAACACGAGGTGATCCTGCTGAGGCCCTTGAGGTGGAGATTTATGACACCAGATAACATTGAATTACTTCTTTTGGAGAATGTGACTTTTGAGGGCTGTTTCTAACTTCCAATATTATGTGGTTGTGTCAGATCTGGAATTACAAGAGACTTCGCCAGTTTGATGCTTTCCTAAATAAAAGAAATTGTTTTGGAAGATGGACTTTGCTCTTTTCTTTTTAAATGGATTTCATCACTTGGAAACACGAGTGCCTGGATATCTGGTGAAAAATGGGCCACAGGGCTCAGGAAACACTGCCAAACCTCCAGACTATGCAATGAATAATAATAATAATAATAATAATAATAATAATAATAATAATAATAA